TGGTGTTCAGTGTATTGTGGGCTTTGATGTGGTCACTCCTTGGTTGGATCATCTTCACTGCTCCTTTGTTCTGGTCCCTTCAGTAGAACCTTGTCCCACCAGGACCTGTGATCACAGAGACTTGGATGTCACCTGGGTGTTGTGTCTTCAGGACCACAGACAGTGAGGGCTTCGTGTGCCCGGGTCAGCCTAGGCTCAGGCAAGCCTCTTCCCCTCAGCCCCTACCTTTTGTGTGTTTATGTTTTGTTTCTTTGGATTTTTTTTTTTTTTTTTTGGATTATGCCTGTTCATTTTCATATTTTCAGTTCTGGTCTCATTCTCCTCCGAGTATCCCCCATCTCTGACAGCAGCAGGAGTCGTTTAGCCATTCATTGTCCCCCTAAGGCTCACAGTGGCCCCTGCACACAGGAGACTCTTTGGTATCGAGAGATGAGTTTTCAGACTCATCCAGTTCTTGCCTTCCTTCTAGGGCTGTTTTCTGGATTGTTCTTTCCATCTTTTCTCCCTTTTTAAAGAGCCAGCTTCTAGAATTAGCAGAGAGGAAGGACCTGATAGTTTTTTATCTTAGATAAATTCTTGTTGGGTTTCTTTTTTTTTTGCTGAGGAAGATTCGCCCTGAGCTAACATCCGTTGCCAATCTTCCTCTATTTTGTATGTCAGTTCCTGCCACAGCATGGCCACTGATGAGTGGTGTAGGTCCACACCTGGGAACTAAACCCCGGGCCGCCGAAGTGGAGCGCGCTGAACTCAACCACTAGGCCATGGGGCCAGTCCCCCGAGTTGGTTTCTTTCTTCTCTGCAGACTGCCCCCTCTGTCTGCCTTCAACTCTAGTCATCCTAGTCCTGGCTCTGATCCAAACTCATGGGTTTATAAGTCAAGTCTACCTTAGATTCACAGTTGGTGGAAAATAGAACCCGTAAGCCCATATGCTTGTCCTTCCTGAAGAGAGAAATATAACTGTGTGTGTGCAGGAGGGTGGCTGTGGGAGGGAGGGGAGAGCAGCCCTTGTGAGAAAAGTACAAGTGACATTGATGTCAGTGTGAGTGGACATTGTGCTGTAGCCACCACAACACAGCGTGTGGCCTGAGGTTCCATTAATAAAGATATCGTCTCTAGAATAGAGAGGTGCTCTACACTGATCATTCATTCAACTGATAATTGTCATTTGCCAGATATATGAGAAATTATTTTTGCAGCTAGAAAATTTCAGTGAACTAAAAACGGAAAAATTGCTGGTGTTGCAGAGCATGTGTTCTAGTGGTGAGGGGCAGAGTGTATGCTACATGCATCGTAAATAAGAGAAGTGTTTATGTTAGAAGTTGTAAGTGCTTTAAGGAAGGTGACCCGGAGTATAAGAGTGTGGGGACAGGGAAGATGACTGTCTTCCTAGAGTGGTCAGTCTGGGCCTCATTGGGAAGCTGACCTTGAATAAAGATTTGAAGTACATGATCTGTCCACGAGGATGTCTGGGGGAAGTTCTTCCCGGCAGGGGAATCTCCAGTGCTACATGCATTAGGGCAGGAGTATGTCTGTGTGTTCAAGGAAGAGCAAGGAGACCAGTGTGGTTGGAGCAGAGAGTAATTGAGATGAGGTCTGAATTAAATCCCAAGTCATGTAGATCTCGAGGATATTGGAAGATTTTGATTTTTCTCTGAGTAAGATGTGCAGTTACAAGACAGTGTTGAAAAGAAGATCGACCTGGTGTGACTTCTCTTGAGAACCATCAGTCTGGTGCTGTGCAGAATCAAGAGGTGAAGTGTGAGCAACAGGTAGAGAAAACTGTAGGAAACTAGTGCTGTGTTCCAGGCTAGAGATGTTAGTTGCTTTGTCTGGGGTGTGAGCAGAGAAATAATAGGAAGTGATAGGATTCTGGGTACATTCTGAAGATGGGCTTCACAGCATTTCCTAATGGAGTAAATCTGGGTTATGAGAAAGAGGAATCAAGGAGGACACCCCAAATTTCAGACTGTGTAAGTAGAAATATGGGGTGCCTTCAGTGAAACTGGGGAAGACTTTAGACGAAACACATTTGAGGAAGCAGCATCATAGACATCCAATTAGGAAAGTTGGAAGAGAGATGTCAATTAGATGCAAGTGAGTTTAGTTTTAGTAGCTGGATATGCAAGCCTTGAGTTTAGGTGAGACGTCTGGGCTGGAGAAGTAGACTTGGAAGGTGATGCCATGTAAATGATATTTAAAGCCTTGAAAACGAATGAGGTCATCAAGGAATAATGGCTATAGAAGAGAAAGAAACAAGGACTGAACCTTGGGCCCCCAGTGCTACGTGATCTGATCAGACCACACTCCAGGAGCAGACTGCACAGTTCTGGCTCTGCTTCTAAAAAGCATGGAAACCAGGGAGTCCTAAACTTTCCTGTGCACAGGAATCCCTTGGGCATCTTGTTAACATCTAGACAGTCTGGAGTAGAGCGTGAGATTATGCATTTATAACGAGTCAGTTCTGATGCTGCTAGTCTTCAGATCACACATTTAGTAGCAAGAACATAGACCAAGATTCCCACATGGCTGTGTGGGATATCGAGCTAAATAAGTGATTCTGGGGCTTCATGCCCAATATTATGAGATGGTGTGTCTGGGGAGAGGCCTGAGTATTTTGTAACAAGCCCACAAGTAATCCTGGTGCTCAGCCAGACTGGGAACAACAGATGCCAGTGGTCAGAGAGCATTCAGGGTAGGGAGGGGTCTTAAGTCCACATTTACATGTTTTTTCCTGGGAAGGAAAAAGCAAGACGTATGCTGAGAGATATACATTGTTTTCTCTGCAGTGGAGTATAGCCAGGTGGATGATTTTGGAAGTGCTTATCAGCTTAGCAAAAGAAAATCTCTGAGTTGTTAAGAGAGTAGGCCTTGAATATTCTTACCACAAAAACAAATGATAATTATGTGACAGGATGCAGGTGTCAGTTAGCTAAGTCTATGGTGTTAATCATTTTGCAATATATTAAGTGCATCAAGTCAACAGGTTGTAAGCTTCCAACATACACAATGTCATTTGTCAATTATATCTCAATAAAGCTGGTAAAATAATCTCTAAATCCTTGCTCTCTGAAACGTTTCCCTACATGGATTTCTGATTCACTTTTTGGTGAGAGCAATGGATTTCAAATTGTTATAACTGAAATATAAATGAATATAGATAGATAGAAAGAGAGAGAGAAAGTATTGGGCCTCAGGCCCCACATAGGAATCGCTTTCGCTGCTGCTGGGCACAGATGCCACTGCTCATACCACTGACTCTCCTGATGCTGGACACTGGATCCTGTGGCTAGGACTGCAGTCTCTGTTGCTCCTGGCAACTGGATCACACTACTGCCACTCCTGCCACCTTTGCCAAATGCATTCTGCACAGTCCTACTTTCTCTGTATCGCCATGTCCTGACTCAGAGACCAGCATATGGTCACCTGACTGGTGGAGCCTCATGTCGTGACCCACTGCAAGAGTGTATGGGAAAGTGGGTTTTCCTCTCTTATAGAGGGAAATTGTCTCTGCCTCCTACCAAGACTCTTTAAGTGTGGAATTTTCCTAACGTGGGAAGAGCCTACAGGTTCTAGGGGTGGAGGTTGGAGGTGAGGGATAGAAAAATAATGACAAATTTCAATTTTGGGAGCAGTGATCTGAGATCAGAACTTGGTGTGTACATTGTATGAACTGAGGTTTGGTTGGGTGGAGTGACTAATAAATGACATTTTGCAACTTGTTCCCTTGATAGTCAGTTATGGGGTCCAGCTTTTCTCTACTCTAGTTTATACTCACAAATAAGTGGAGTGGCAGCGTTGGATGATGAAGTGATTACTCAAAATGTCTTCTCCCTGCTTTTGTCTCTTGCTAGGATTAAAAAACCAAGATCTATAAGACTTCAAAAGATCCATATATATTCACTGACATTTTATGTTAACTTTTATATTTCTTTGTATATGCACATATTTTGGAGAGAGTAGCTATAGTATTTATGTGACTCCAATAAAAGTCTAAAAACCATCCTAGTTTACACACCATGCTACTCAGTCTCTGGTCCATGAAGAGCTAATAATTAAAGTGTTTTAGCATACCAGTGACACGATAAAATGCTCATCTTTTCCTTGACAATTCTAGTCCGGGACAAGATAAGGTAGAGGTTTACTTGCTTACATTCACTTTCAGTTTCTGTATGTATTTTACTGTGGGCTGATAAGAAACACCTCACAAGCCAGCACGGATTCATAGACCACACTAAGTAGCATTGGTTTAGATTGACTTGTATTCTAGAACCTACCCTGGTGCCAGATAAATAGCAGGAATAAAAAAATAGTTAATGGAGATTCCATTTCCAGTAATATGGTAGGCTAGTTTTTAAGGCTGCCTCTTTCAATAAAAATAACTAAAAGTAAGCTATGAAATATAAAGAGCATCCAAAAGTATAGTAGAACAATCAAGAGAATAATCGATTAGTTCAACATATAAATGTGGGTAAATAATCCAGGTAGAAAAGTTGTTTTTATCTTTAGGGCATTTGCCAAATCTGTAAAAATCTTAGGTTTGGTTTTCTTGGGTTCATGAGCTGTAATAGAATGGACATGATGCCCAGAGCTTATTCATTTGGGGAGCATAAGAGACATCCCCTCCCTGAAAATCTGGGGAACTAAGGTTCATACCCTAAGAGTAAGGGTGAAACAAAACAAAATCTGCTTCATCACTTAATACAAGAGTATTCCTAGGAAAATTGATTTAATTTGAGCCAGCCCAAATAAAGAAGGAGCAAATAACTGTTTCTGAGAATTTCCAACAATAAATACTCCTCCTGTGATTTATATTCCAAATTTGCTTTACCACTTTGTGTCAAAGTTATCTCATGCCATAAATTTAGTTTATACTTTTCCTGGATTGATGATGACTCAAGAATTGGAAGAAAGAGACAAAAATCCTTACAGAAATTTACATTTAACCTAGGTATCAAAGAATTTACACAAATACACAAGGAAGAAATCAGCTCATAGCAAGAAATGTATAAGTACAAATGGAAAAAGACTACGAGAATCAGTAGAAACAATGGATAGTGTAAAGAGTCTCGTAAAACTTCAATATTGAAATTATAAGACATAGAATATAACATAACCAAGATATGACATAAACATATAAATATATATTATATATGTTATAGAGAAAAAAATGAAGAATTGAAAATTCAGCAAAAATGATGAAATTAAACATGCCTTCAGAAATAGGAAACTAAATATCTGATTTTCAAAATAAGCAAATAAGTTTGTAAAAATTAAAATTAAAACAATTTAAAAACTGTCTCGAGGAGTGACATCAGCATCATGGCAGATTAAGTCATTCCCTTTCTCACTACCTTCTAATTTACAACTAAATGGACATCCATTAACCAACAGAGGATTTCTTACACAGCACAACAGGATGCCTGAGAGATCTATGAAGCTATACATCTGAAGGGGGTGGTCTGGACCCCAGGAAGCAGTGGAACTAGGAGAGTGGCAACCTCCTGCTCCCTGGTGGCAGTGATCCAGGTCAAGGATTCACACATTGCAGCCAGCACCACTGGGATTGGAGGCAGGGGCAGCCTGGCCCACATGCAAATGCTTGCAGAGCCACAGTAGCCTGGTCCATGAGAATGCCAACCCTGCTGTAGTGGCCCCGCCTAGGCAAATGCTCCCTGCCAAGTGGTGGCAGCTCAGCCCATGTGAAGGCACCCCACCAGGAACTGGCCTCACCCATGCCAGTGCAACCTGCCTGCCAAGCATGGTGGCCTGCTGAGTGGCTGTGTCCCAGATCATATGAACACAGAGTGGCTTACTGGCACAACTACCAGTGGATGGGGAGGGAACAAAAATAACAACCCCTGCCCCCTCCAACTGTGGCAGGTGGAACCCGTGACCAGAAGCAACAGGAACCACAGC